CGGACTGACCATTTGGAAACTCGGGCACTGCCCAAGGGCCCAGGGTCAGTAGGGGCCCCATGAGATGCCCCTGGTACCTTTTTCATAGGCTTTTTTGAGTTTGGGCAAGGACACAGGGACCCCATGATCCCCAATTGCCCGGGGGCCCCATGAGTTGTCAGTCCACCCCCTGGTCTTTTTGAAGAACTCCCATTTCTGGGTTGTGTTCATTGATGCCAACATTCCCTCCCAGTCTAAGTCTTGAAGAGGAGCTCTCAGCCCTGGAAAATTAGCTCTCTTAAAATTGAGCGGTTTTTTTTTCCTGTATGTGCTTGCTGTTTACAGCTAACAAATTAAATAATGTTATGGTCACTGCTACCCACATGTGCATTTATATGGACATTCATAATAAACTCTGCATAGGTTGAGATTACCAGGTCCAGCAGAGCATCATTCCTAGTTGGGGCCTCTATGAACTGTACCATAAAATTGTCCTGTAGTAGGTCTATAAATTTTTGCCCTTTAACTGTTCCTGCAGTACCATTACTCCAGTCAATTTCTGGGTAGTTAAAATCCCCCATTATCACTGTCCCAGCCCTTATAGCCCTTTCAATCTGTGCAAGGAGCTGAGTCTCCACCTCCTCATTAACACTGGGAGGCTTATAACAAACTCCAATGATTACCTTTGTAGTACGCAACCCCATGTGCAGTTCCACCCTTAATGCTTCAGCCTCATCACACTCTTCATAAAACTAGGTCCTCTTTCACCCTCACTCTGAGATCACTTCTCACAAAGAGACAGACACCATCATACCCTAATAAATATATTATTATTAAAGTGCATATATCCATTATAAATCAAGTTCAAGGATCACTGTGCAAAAACAAATATGTAAATACATTAATAAGGTACATAACAAATTAAAATATCTTTATTAAAGCCTCTTATTTAATCATAATTTTATTCACTCAAAACTACATGATCATTAGAAACACTCCCCATTTTTCTTACTCTCCCATCACAAAAAGTAAAACCCCTCAGCTGATAATTCCTTTGGTTCTCCACTATTTCTCCTTTGTGTTATAACCAGGTAATGTCACATACCTGGTTAGGGGCCAAAATGAAGAGTGGGATTCCTTTGTGGCTCTGAACCAAACACCCCCGGTGGTAAAAGGGAGTGCAAGGCACAAAGTGGCATGGGTGCTGAAAGTCCAGATTTCTGGTGGCTGCTCCTGAAGGTGGTCAACAAGGTAGCTCTTTAACTGGGAGATGTGAGTCGCAGATGAATCACAGAGAGAGACTGTAGAGGCGTGGGTCAGGCACAACTGCTGGCAAAATGTTGACACTCGCAATAGGAAGAGATGATGTAGGATGAGATCAAAAGGGAATGACTTGGGGGATAGCAGTTTCAAGGTCAAGGGGCAAGCCAAGGTCATACACAGGTGATCAGTAGGATGTACAGTGGGGATCGAAAGTTTGGGCACCTCAGCTAAATATTTGTATTAATGTGCATAAAGAAGCCAAGGAAAGATGGAAAAATCTCCAAAAGGCATCAAATTACAGATTAGACATTCTTATAATATGTCAACAAAAGTTAGATTTTATTTCCATCATTTACACTTTCAAAATAACCCAAAACAAAAAAATGGCGTCTGCAAAAGTTTGGGCACCCTGCAGACTTAATATCTTGTACTGCCCCCTTTGGCAAGTATCACAGCTTGTAAACGCTTTTTGTAGCCAACCAAGAGTCTTTCAATTCTTGTTTGAGGTATCTTTGCCCATTCTTCCTTACAAAAGTCTTCCAGTTCTTTGAGATGTCTGGGCTGTCTGTCACGCACTGCTCTTTTAAGGTCTATCCATAGATTTTCAATTATGTTGAGGTCAGGAGATTGTGAAGGCAATGGCAAAACCTTCAGTTTACGCCTCTTGATGTAATCCCCCGTGGATTTCGAGGTGTGTTTAGGATCATTATCCATTTGTAGAAGCCACCCTCTCTTTAACTTCAGCCTTTTCACAGATGGCATCAAGTTACCATCCAAAATTTGCTGAAATTTTATTGAATCCATTTTTCCTTCTACTCGTGAGATGTTCCCTGTGCCACTGGCTGCAACACAACCCCAAAGCATGATTGATCCAACCCCATGCTTAACAGTTGGACAGAGGTTCTTTTCATTAAATTATGTGCCCCTTCTTCTCCAAACGTACCTTTGCTCATTTTGGCCAAAAAGTTCAATTTTAACCTCATCAGTCCACAGAACTTGTTTCCAAAATGCATCAGGCTTGTCTATATGTTCATTTGCAAAGTTCAAACGATGATTTTTGTGGTGAGGACGTAGAAGAGGTTTTCTTCTGATGACTCTTCCATGAAGACCATATTTGTACAAGTATCTCTTTAAAGTGGAATAGTGTACCACAACTCCAGTGTCTGCCAGATCTTTCTGGAGGGATCGTGCAGTCAAACGTGGGTTTTGAATTGTTTTTCTCACAATCCTGCAAGCTGTTCTGTCTGATATTTTTCTTGGTCTTCCAGATCTTGCTTTAACTTCCACTGTTCCTGATGACTGTCATTTCTTAATTACATTCCGAACAGAGGATATTGACATCTGAAAACGCTTTGCTATCTTCTTATAGCCTTCTCCAGCTTTGTGAGAGTCAACTATTTTCAGTTTCAGTTTTCTAGACAACTGCTTAGAAGAACCCATGGTGCTGATTGTTGGGGCAAGGTCAGATGAGTCTGGGCATTTAAAACCTTTGAGATTGACATCACCTGGTCTTCCCAGACGATGATTGAGAACAATCCATGACACTGGCATGTCTCAGCTTTGCAAAGGGGGCAGTGCATGCTATAAATTCTGCAGGGTGCCCAAACTTTTGCAGACGCCATTTTTTTGTTTTCTGTTATTTTTAGCTGGGGTGCCCAAACTTTCGATCCCCACTGTAGATGAGAGAATAGTCATACAACAGTGGTCAGACACTAAAGCCAGGGTCATACACAGTTGACCAGCAGAAACAAAGTTACAACGAGGATTCAGACAGAGGAAAATGCAAGGGTGGGCCGAGTCAGTAGCAGAAAATCAGGATATATAGGAGCAGGGATCAAGGTATAACTGAAGATCATCCATCAACTATCTGTCAATACTGTTTTAAAAATAACATTTAGCAGCAGTCGTTGGAGCTGGATTCATGTGCACGTGTACCTGCATATGCAGATGTCCATGCAATGAGCCTGGGCATGTTTTCATGCAAATGAGTATTCCTATGCATTATACTGGTAGAAGTTCCTAGACTGTATAATGGCACACATGCACCTCTGTTTCAGATGGTGTCCTGACAGGTAATAAAGTTTTTAACTATTCCTCTTATTTCTCTTCCCACCAGGTATATAGGAGCTCATATAGACATTCCTGATAAATGATACAAAATAAACTTTATATGGCATAAATCCATTTAATAAAATGACATAAAAACAAGTATCTAATACTGCACTATAACAACCACTTGAACAACTAGATTTACTGGCTATTGTGCTACCTAATGTGTTGCATCAAATTATTGACTTTTTCAAAGAATGTTTTATTTCAGAACAAAACTTGCCTCCTCTCTACCTTTAATATTGTGGCCTAATCAATCTGCTTGTTTAAAGCCACTGAACAATATTTGTGACTATATTCTTATATAATTCACTTCAGTTTGTATTACAAGATAAACCATGCCTTGCCTCTTTCTATAAGCTGCTTATTGAATTGATCGTGTATTGTCTGATGCTAGCTGATTTCTACCAAACACATACGTATAGTCTATTTTTTTTAACTATTTTGGGAATAATTAAAGTTACAAGGATAGGGGAAGATTCAGGGATTGTTGGTTTGTGCTTTTTAGGTGTTTTTTTTGCACTCTGTTTTCAAATGATGTTACATTTTTAGGGCAATGCCTTGTGATACTGTATTAAAAAGAAGCATAGAAACTACACTATGAAAATTTCCTGCCCCTGGACAATTTGTACAGAGCTGAGGGACTTAAGTTTATTATTTTAAACTGAAACTTTAGTCAGAAAAAAAAGTCATGCTAGATCACTTCAGGCTGGCTCCTTTTGCAGGTATAGCTATGTAAAACTATACAAAAAAATGTAAAAAAATATTAAAAATAAGTACCTATACTGTTTAAACCCAGTAATACACTGTCTCACTATGCTTTGCACTTCCTCAGTTACTTCTTTTTTTTGGCACTGTGCGCAATTTGCAGAGGCTCACCTGCTAACAGTCTAAAGATTTATTACTGTTCAGAGGCTCTGGGCTTCAACAAAATGGCAGCCTCCAGCAAGAAGAGACAGAAACCATGCTGGATGCAATTTACAGCACACACTCATTTTGATAGCACATGGAATGTATATTCCTTGCTGAAGAAATTATTTTTTATCATGTTGTTATGGTTAATGTTCCTCTTTAAAAGGAAACTTTTGTGTTTGCATCTGTTGTAGCTGCTACTTCCACTGGTCAATTCTGGGAACCAACCACAACTGCCTAAAAAGATATTTTTTTTTATCCTAGTTAAAATTAATCATTTTGGGATGCTGCTGTATTTAAACCAAGCTAAACAGAAAAATTAAAGTACCAGTTACTCTGTGTGTGAAAATCAAACTGTTCTGTAACACTACATACAACTTAAAGGAATCTCCTAAATGCGCAATTTAACCACTTGCCCTCTGGAGGGTTTACCCCCCCTTCCTGACCAGGCCATTTTTTGTGATACGGCGCTCCATTATTTTAACTGCCAGTTGCGTGGTCATGCAACGCTGCGCCCAAATTAAATGTATGTCCTTTTTCCCACAAATGGAACTTTCTTTCAGTGGTATTTGTTCGCCTGTGCTTTTTGGGTTTTTTTTTTTGCGTTATAAACAAAAAAGACCAACAATTTTGAAAAAAAAAAACTATATTTTTGACTCTTTGCGATTAAAGATGTCCAGTAACAAAATGTTTAAAAATCATAGGCCAAAATTTATTCTGCTACGTCTTTGCTAAAAAAAAATCCCAATACATGTAAATTAATTGGTTTACGTGAAAGTTATAGCATCTACAAATGGCAGTATATACAACTGAAACTCGAAAAATTAGAATATCATGCAAAAGTTCATTTATTTCAGTAATGCAACTTAAAAGGTGAAACTAATATATGAGATAGACTCATTACATGCAAAGCAAGATAGTTCAAGCCGTGATCTCTCATAATTGTGATGAATATGGCTTACAGCTCATGAAAACCCCAAATCCACAATCTCAGAAAATTAGAATATTACATGCAATCAATAAAACAAGGATTGTACATAGAACAATATCGGACCTCTGAAAAGTATAAGTTTGCATATGTACTCAGTACTTGGTTTGGGCCTCTTTTTCAGCAATTACTGCCTCAATGTGGCGTGTCATGGAAGCTATCAGCCTATGGCACTGCTGAGGTGTTATGGAAGACCAGGATGCTTCAATAGCAGCCTTCAGCTCTTCTGCATTGTTCGGTCTCATGTTTCTCATCTTTCTCTTGGCAATGCCCCATAGATTCTCTATGGAGTTCAGATCAGGCGAGTTTGCTGGCCAATCAAGCACAGTAATCCCACGGCCATTGAACCAAGTTTTGGTGCTTTTGGCCGTGTGGGCATTTGCCAAGTCCTGCTGGAAAATGAAGTCAGCATCCCCATAAAGTGTCAGGGAGTGAGGAGCCAGACACACAAGGAGGTGCAATTAAAGGTAGGTTTATTTACACAGAAACAAGGCAAGAGTCTATGCAAGTCTGACAGCAACAGCGGATGACTTGGTAGGACAGAAGTTCTCCTGCCAAGGTCGTCTTCCAGGATGATCAAGTCGAGAACCAGCGGGAATCGTAGCCAAAGCCGGGGTCAGAAGCCAGGAAGAATGGTCGCCAGAGCCGGGGTCAGAAGCCAGGAAGAATGGTCGCCAGAGCCGGGTCAGAAGCCAGGAAGAATGGTTGCCAGAGCCGGGGTCAGAAGCCAGGAGGAGTCTTAGCCAAAGCCGAGTCGGTATCCAGGAGAGCAAAGAGTTAACTGAACAGGAGCTTGCTGCTGTGCAACAGACAGGACATGAATGCAATGGACAGCTGCAAACAGCAGACTTAAATGTGATAAGCCGCCACCTCCTGGGAGGAGCCGCAGAGGGCTGACAGCATAAAGGATCCCACAATGCTTTTCAGACCTAAGATGGATGCCAGCACATGGAGCAGCACAAGCCCTGAGGAAAGGTAGGACCTTGATATAAAGCTCGTCTGCAGAAAGAAGCATGAAGTGCTCCAAAATCTCCTGGTAGATGGCTGCGTTGACCCTGGACTTAATGAAGCACAGTGGACCAACACCAGCAGATGCCATGGCTCCCCAAATCAACACAGACTGTGGAAACTTCACACTGGACTTCAAGCATCTTGCAGTGTGTACCTCTCCATTCTTCCTCCATTATCTGGGTCCTTGGTTTCCAAATAATATGCAAAAGTTGCTCTCATCAGAAAAGAGGACTTTGGACCACTGAGCAACAGACCAGGTATGTTTTTCTTTAGCCCAGGTAAGACGCTTCTGATGTTGTTTGTTGTTCAGGAGTGGCTTGACAAGAGGAATACAACATTTGAAGCCCGTGTCCAGGATCCGTCTGTGTGTGGTGGCTCTTGATGCACTGACTCCAGCCTCAGTCCACTCCTTGTGAAAGTCCCCAATACTTTTGAATGGCCTTTTCCTGACAATCCTCTCCAGGCTGCGGTCATCCCTGCTGCTTGTGCACCTTTTTCTTCCACACAACTTTCTATTAATGTGCTTTGATACAGCACTTTAGGAACATCCAACTTCTTTTGAAATTACCTTTTGAGGCTTTCCCTCTTTATGGAGGGTGCCAATAATGGTTTTCTGCACAACTGTCAGGTCAGCAGTCTTTTCCATGATTGTGGTTCCTACTGAACTAGACTGAGAGACCATTTAAAGGCTCAGGAACCCTTTGGAGGTGTTATGGCTTAATTATCTGATTAGAGTGCGACACTTTGAGCCTAGAATATTGCACCTTTTCACAATATTCTAATTTTCTGAGATTGTGGATTTGGGGTTTTCATGAGCTGTAAGCCATAATCATCACAATTATGACAAATCATGGCTTGAACTATCTTGCGTTGCATGTAATGAGTCTATCTCATATATTAGTTTCACCTTTTAAGTTGCATTACTGAAATAAATGAACTTTTGCATGATATTCTAATTTTTCATGTTTCACCTGTATACTGGAATTTTTTTTTTAATACTAGTAATGGTGGCGATCAGCGACTTATAGTGGGACTGTGGAGGGCATTCTGACACTGGGGGGAACTGATTTGGTTTCACTGACATCCCCAGTGACACACCAATACAGTGATCAGCGCTAATAAAAAGCACTGACACTGTACTAATGATACTGGCCAGGAAGGGGTTCATATCGGGGGTGATCAAAGGGATAACTGTGTGCTGTGTGTGTTTTACTGTGTGCTGTGCTTTATTGTGTAAGCACGCTGCTTTGTATTGCTCTGCTATGCAAAGCAATACAAAGCAGCGTGCTGGAGCTGAGAAGGGAGAGATCTGTATTGTTTATATACAGACCTCTCCCCTGTCAGTGATACTCGGCGATTGCTGGGTGCCGGTGGCCAGTCACCAGCCGGAACCTGGTGATTGACAGCTGAAGTCACCAATGGCACGCACACCCCCTACCCAGAAATAAAAAATCACGTATGTATACATGATTTTGCGCAGCCCTTCCACCCTGTAGCAGTAGTTCTGCTCTAGGGTGTTCGGGTAGCAGTTAAAAAATTTGTGTCTTTTCCATGTTGCCTTGGAAGTTGCATGAAAAGGACCTCCCTGTTGTCCATTTTTTTTTTAATTCCCCCAGTGCAGCAGTGTCTTTCTTCCCATTTCACCATAGTTTGACTACTAGCCTTGAAAATGGCAAATATTTAGTATCAAGATTTATCCCCATAGATTTCAATGGAGTTCACAGCTAAGTTTGGGTTTTGTGGATTTCAAGCAAGATTCAGTGAACCCCCACTTAATAATCATAATAACCCTTCTACTACTGAATCTCAGTTATGCAGTCATGGGGCTGTATATTGGAGCGTAGGGTGAAACCCCTTAAAGATTTTTTTACATCTTTATCCTATATTGAAAAAAAAGATAATAAAAATTTATATACATATATATATATATATATATATATATACACACACACATACAGTATATATACACACACACACACACACACAACACACACACACACACACACACAGATTGATCTGCTGTAGCCTGACTCCTTTTTCCAGTTATATTTTCCAGAATATAATGAACAGCAAGTTGCAGGTTCTCCATTTCTTAGTGGCATTAGAAACCATTTATAAGAGCTCATGTAGTGAAAACCCTTATTAGCAATCCTTAGTTTAACAGGGTGGTAATTTAATAGCAACAAATCAGAACAAGAACCTGGCAAAGCTAAACAAATAGGACAATAAAAGGAGTAAACAAACAAAAAATTAGCATATCCTTTGTTAAAAATGGGGTCAGTTGCTAGAGTCATGCTATGTCTGCTTTGTTGGAGTAGTCATTAAAAAGAACTACAGTGCTGTCCTATCCAGCCTGGCAGGAGGCCTTGTGTATATTGTCACATATATTTATCTTGCAGCAGACATTAACCTTTGATATGTAGGGATACAGCAGACATGAAGTGTGATGAACACAAATTTACTGCTGCAGAATCTTTTAGTGCCCAGAATGCTTAAGCTAGAAAATAGCTGTCTGAGCTGCTCACAACTGGAAAAATGATTTTAACATCAGCTTTGGGAGCACTAGCTGCAAATTAATGCATTATAATGCAAAAAATAACAGATTTGTTTGGCACAGATCCAATATTATGGAACTGGGCATAAAGTGATGGAAATCATAGTTCTTAAAGCCCAAATTTAGCAATTTTTTTTTACATTGTTTTCATTCAGTATATCTAGTGTAAAGGCAGGTAACACCATACCTTTATGGTAAGGATGCATTTCTGGATGCAAGTTTTCTTTTCCATTTTCAATGCTTTCAAGGGCATTTTAATTTTTTCCTGTTTTTTTTGTACTATAATTTTGTGCCCCAACAGTAGAGTAGCACCAAAAATGCATGTACATGCATTTCATGCATTTTTAGGTGCATTTTTTGCCTGCGATTTCTGTTGGTTGCTAGAAGCCAGCACCTGCTGGCATCCTAACAGTGATGAGTCATCCCTGCTGTCAGTGGAGGATTCCCCACTGACAGAAAAATGTAAACAAAAGAGCCAACATAAAAATTAAACAAAATCCATAATATTCCCATCTTCGGATCAGGTATGGATTTTGAAAGGGACTCACACCAAAAAAAAAAAAAAAGTGTGACCCCCCCCAAAGCTATACCAGACCCGTCTGTCTGGAGTGGAGGGGAAACCCACGCCAAACAAATGGAGTGGGGTCCCCCCCATAGTAGACCCTTGTCTGAGTAAGCAGCCTGGCAGTCCAGGAAAGGAGGGGGGATGAGTGAATACTCCATCGAACCATACCTTGCTAAAAGCTGTCTTGCATTTTTATTTACTTTTTGACTTTTGGTGAATGCGTACCCCTACCCATTCACATGGGAGGCTGGGCCATTCCAAAACTTTAATCTTCTGGTAAAGCCATTCCTTTGTTGATTTGGATGTATGCTTGGGTCGTTGTTATGCTGAAAGATGAAGTTCCTCTTCATATTCAGCTTTCTAGCAGAAGCCTGAAGGTTTTGTGCCAGTATTGACTGGTATTTGGAACTGTTCCGGATGAAGAAAAACAGCCCCAAAGCATGATACTGCCACCACCATGCTTCACTGTGCGTATGGTGTTCTTTTGGTGATGTGCAGTGTTGTTTTTGTGCCAAACATATATTTTGGAATTATGGGCAAAAAGTTCAACCTTGGTTTCATCAAACCATAACACATTTTCCCACATGCTTTTGGGAGACTTGAGATGTGTTTTTGCAAAATTTAACAGGGCGTGGATGTTTTTCTTCCGTCTTGCCACTCCACCCCATTTCCCAGACATATGAAGAATACTGGAAATTTTTGTCACATGTACCACACAGTAAGTACTTGCCAGATATTCCTGCAGCTCCTTTAATGTTGCTGTAGGCCTCTTAGCAGCCTCCTAAACCTAGTTCTTGGTAATGTCACTGTTGCACCATATTTTCTCCACTTGATGATGACTGTCTTCACTGTGTTCCATGGTTTATCTAATGCCTTGGAAATTCTTTTGTACCCTTCTCCTGACTGATACCTTTTAAAAATGAGATCCCTCTGATGCTTTGAAAGCTTTCTGTGAACCATGGCTTTTGCTTTAGGATGCGACTAAGAAAATGTCAGAAAAAACCTACTAGAACAGCTGAACTTTATTTGGGGTTAATCAGATGCACTTTAACTGATGGCAGGTGTGTACTGACTCCTATTTAACATGATTTTGAATGTGATTGCTTAATTCTGAACACAGCTACATCCCCAGTTATAAGAGGGTGTGCACACTTATGCAACCACATTATTTTAGTTTTTTTATGTTTACTTCACCCCCCTTAAAAGATTTCAGTTTGTTTTTCAATTGAGTTGTACAGTTTATAGATCACATTAAAGGTGGAAAAAGTTATGAAATTATTTATCTTATTTTTTTACATCACGGAAAGCTAAAATTTTACCCTACAAGGGTATGTAGACTTTTTATATCCACTGTATGTGTGTCTGTGAGAGTCTCATTTGTGGCACAGAAATTAGGAGTATCTTGGGAGGCCAGTGACTATGGTATTGGTATGTAAAAATAATATGTACAGGTTCTGTGTAATTATCCCTCGTTAAGCCACTCTTACTGTTAGGCACAGTATTGCTATGCCAACCAATCTGCTGTGCTCTGATGACTTCTTAATTGTAAAATCACACAGATTACTTGTGGGTAGAAACAGTGCCTTGAAAAAGTATTCATACCCCTTGAAATTTTCCACATTTTGGCATGTCACAACCATGAAAGTAAATGTATTTTATTGGGATTTTTTTTTTTCCATAAAGTTTATTAGGAAAGCACAGAGCATACAAAAAGTACAATGAGTACAAAGAGATACAATGTGATAATGAAAATCGCAATGTAAAACAAATAACAAAGCCCATACAGAGAGAAATGATAAGGTAAACAGACAGAGAAAAAGATCTCATGTTGCATATACTATTAATGATATTCGATTAGAGGAGACTACATGCGGTCACAACAAGGATGAAGGCACTTAATACCCAAAACCATAATGAGGCATAAGAAATCCACAAGACGGGCAAGAACAGTTGTTTATTCCCCCATATGTCTTACATCGTGTAAAGGCAGGGTGGTGGGGCAGAGGATGTGAGTAGAGGCTCAGTACATCCTATAGAGGAAAGCTGGAAAGCTCTAAACTATCCATGAGGTATAATGGGGGCTACGAGTAGTGGTTACCCATGTGTGAGAAGAGGTCTTTGTGAATTGGAGGACACGTATTTGCAAATTGCGTATGGGTATGGGAGTATGTCGCCTATGGGCAGGGAAAAGAGTGGAAGGGAAGGAGGATGAGAGTAAGGTAAGATATGCAAAATAGAAAGGAGGAAAGGGAAGGTAAAGGGAATGATAAGAAAAGAGTCAGAAGGGGAGTAGGGAAGGATGAGTTATGGAGAGCCAGAGAGAGAAGAAAAAAGAAGGGGGGGAGGGTCAGAGGGGAAGAAAGGGAACTGGGGAGAGGGCGGTATAGGCAGGCAAAGGGTATAAGCATGAGTCAGACAACGGGTGCATTGAACATGAGGGTGTCACGCTCCGCCCAGGGTAGGATAGAATATCTCGACAACCTTAAAAAGGTTGAGGGGAGATGTGATGAAGAAAGCAATGTAGGAATGCAGGTTCAGCATAAAGTCAAGTGGAAAGACCCATAAGGGAACGGTATTTGGAGATCGTTTGAAAGTGAGTCCAGCAAGACCAGATATGGGAAAATTTAGTTGGGTTATCTTGTGATGAAGCAATCAGCTCCTCCATCTCCGCAACTTTTCCCGTGTAAGCCAATCTCGTATTGAAGGGGGTGGGTAGATCCCCAGAGAACAGGTAGACAGAGTCTAGCCGCGTTGAGCATATGCATAGCGAGTGATTTGAAATAGAGGCGTCTGGGAAAAGGGGAATAGTGGAGGAGAAATCCTGCCAGAAGGGCTGGATAGTTGGGCAAGACCACTAGATATGGAGAAGAGACCCATCAGGTGCTCCACATCTCCAACATTTGTTGGGCAGAGAGGGTTTATAGCAATGGATTCTAGAGGGGGTATTATACCAGCGGGAGGCCAGTTTGTATCAGTTTTCTTGCGTTGATACATTCAGCGAGCAATTGTGGGAGTATGTAAATTTGGTCCTAGTCCGAGGAGGAGAAGTCTATTTCC